AAGAGAGAGAGAGAACACTAGGGAAGGAAAAAAGAAAGAGGAAGAAAAAAATAATTTAAAAACAAAACTGGGTGTTGAGGGCAGGGCATCCAGGTTTGGTCTGGGCACACAGACTGGGATGGAATTCCTGCTGGTCCACAAGGTGGGTGGAGGTGGGGGATGGCCACACTTCTGTTTACTAAGCAGGTGTGGGATATAAGAGTAACAAGTGGAATATCGCACCTTTCCAGTTGTCAGCCTCCAGTGCTGTGCCCATGCTGTCCTTTGCAAATGGAGCCTATTCTTAGGTCACTGAGATCAGATCACTGCTTGCAAATGTTCAAAATGGCTGCTCCCTCAGGACAGCCAAAAGTCCACAGCTTAGTTTGTCTATTTGCTGTTTTCCTTTCTAGTTGACAGCCACCAATGCAGTTGTCCATGCAGTCCTTGGCAAGCATGGCCATTAGATTCTTAGGTTGCTGCCTAGAGCCTAATGCCACTTGCAAATATTCAAATTGGCCGTGTCATCAGGATAGCTGACAGTCCCCAGCTCTGTTTGCCTCCTTATTCACTGTTTTCATTCAGGTTCTTCTGCTAGTTGGTATTGAATCTGCAGCTTTATCCTTCCTTTCAGAGCTCAGGCCTCCAGGATTATCTTCTGTGTCTGTTTCAATTGGTTTCTCATTTCTTTGTTGAAGAGGGTCTGTGTAGCTTGTCTGCCTATTCCACCATCTTGTCAGAAATTCTAACCATAATACATGTTTGGCAGACAGTATTTCTACTTACATACTTGTATGCGCTACAAGAATGTCCATACATATAATAGAGTTAATGGGGCAAAATTATGTAATTTCTTAGCCATAGCCAAACATCTTGAGCAAGTGAGTTGTTGGGCTGCAGGCTCAGACCATAGTCATGGGGTCATCAAGCTGAATTGGCATAACTTACTACACAAAAGGCATTATTCTGCATCATGCTCTAGTGAGTAGTGACTGGGGTCTTAAAAGCTTGTGAGTGGCCATCTAAGATGGAACAATTGGTCTCTCCTTGTCTGAGCATAAACAAATGAAGAAAATCAAAGACACATGGAAACAGTTTTGTCAATGGGATTAGTAGACCATGAGAACAACCTCAGCCTACATGACCCTGAGACCAGAAGAAGTAAATGGTGCCTGTCAACTACTTGGAAAGGGAGAAAAATAGGAGATCCTAGATAGAGTGGGAGAAAAGTGGAACAAAGCTCAAAATATTTTTTAAAAAAAAAAAAGACTGGGCTTACTTGTCTGATAGAGACTGGTGAAATCCCTGAGACTTTGGCCCATAGTCACCCTTCAGGACTGGAATTGAACTCACTCCCCTGGTTTCCAACCAAACAATATACAGACCTACAAGGTGAACAGGTACACTAAGTAGGTACACTCCTTAGAACAGTCAACCATGGGAGGACAGAAAGTCCACATTTACACAAGGAGGACATGAAGGCATAGGAAAGAAGGATACAGGGAAAAGATAACCACAAGGAGTAGGTGGGAAGAGAGTTGTTACATTGTAGGGATTGCAGTCAATGCCATGAAACAAAATGTGTATGAACTATTGAATGGAAAACTCTGTAAACTTCTACCCAAATCACAATAATACATTTTTAAAAGTGTATACATTTGTAATTCTTTTGTATGTACGTGTTATTGAAAAAATACACAGCAAAAAGTGTATAATGCAGTGACACTGATGAAGTGTTTTTATGTGTGGATTTATTCTTGTTTATCCTGCGTTGGGGTTCATTGGAATTCATGGTTTGATGCTTTCATTCAATCTAGCTGATTTGTGCCATTGTCTCTCCAATTATTGCCTTTTCCTTATATCCATATTTCTATTAATGCTTTCGTTTTCTGAGACCATAATTAAAAGTGTATTAAACCTTCTCAATTTATTTTTTAACCATTCTTCTGTATTTTATATCTTTCTGTGTTTCCATGCTGCATTCCGGGTAACTTTTTTCTCATTATCTTCCACTTCACTGATTTACTCTTTGATTCTGTCTAATTTGCTTTCAGATCAACCTATTAGGTTTTTAACTTTGGTTATTATATTTTTAAAATTCTTTTTTCATTCTTTCTTAATTCTGTTATATCAGTTTTCATAAATTACTGATCTCTGCAGAAGTTTTCAAGCTAATCTTGTTTTTCCTTTAAGCATAGTAAACTTATTTGTTTTATAATTTGTCTCAAAATGCAAATATATACAATGAGATACCATCTTGCTCCAGCACTAGTAGCAAAGTTCAACAAGACAGAAAATAACAAATGCTGGCGAGGTTGTGGAGAGATTGGGACTCTCAT